GTCCCACAAATGTCTTACCTCTCTATTTTTCCCCCCAAATTTCTTGTCCTATGCTCTTCCTCTCCCACACTCTCTTTCCACTTTGGCTCTGGTGTCCATAACAATTTTTAATGCTTTTGTGTCCTCCAGTCTTTCAGTCTCTGCCATAGAGTGCTGACAGTAGGTATATGTTAAAGGGAGACATACAATGTCTCTTTCATAGCCTGACTTGCTTCACTCGGCAACAGATGTTCCATACTCGTCCACTTTCAATCAAATTCCAGGGCCTTGTTGTTTTTTACGGCTGAATAGTATTCTGTGGAGCATGCGTGCAACACTTTTTCAATCCATTCACCCATTTGTGGACATATGGGTTAGCTACATGTCTTAGCAATCATGAATAAGGCTGCAATGAATATAGATGTGCAAGCACTTTTCCAATTGAGTGTTCTCCTGTCCTTTGGGAAGATACCCAGGAGTGGAATTGCTGGGTCATATGGTAGTTCTATTTGAAGGTCTTTGAGGAAACTCCATATTGTTCTCCACAGTGGCTGGACCAATTAATAACCCCATCAGCAGCATAGGAGTGTTTCTCTTTCACCACATCCCCTCCAGCACTTAGCATTTTTTGTTTTTTTAATCTTTGCCATTCTGACTGGGGTTTATTAAGCATTTATTCTGAAGAACACACCTCCAGTGACGCACAAGAGTTACACCTGGACCACATCCCAGCCATGCCCTCATGCCCTCCAGCCCAGCAGTGGTTAGCAAAAAGGCTGAACTGGAACTCCCTGCCTGGGAGGAGCTGATGGTTGGCCACACAGCCTCCTGTGGCCACTGCAAACAGAAAAGGTACATGGGGGGCTGTCACGAGCAGAGGTCTGAACCCATGTGGTGACAGCCAGATGTTGCATAATAGTGCTGGGAGGAGAAACTACAGGGCAGTAGAAAAACCCACAGATGAGCCTACTGTCTCGGTGCCCAGAAATGTCTGCCTTATCAGTCACTTCAAAAGGATCAAAATTAGCATTCAGTGAATTGAGTTATCCCACATGTTGGCAACTGCCAGATGCAATAGAATTTTCCAAAGGGTTTCTGCAGTTAATTTCCCAAAATTAGCAAGCACCAGGATGCTGGTCTCCCGCCTGCTTGAGCCCTGTTTATTCTCAGCACAGAACCAGAAGGACCCTGTGAAGATTAAGTCAGATCCTGTCCCTTCCCTGCTAAGGACCCCAGGTGGCTTCCATCTACCCAGAGTAAACAACCGCTCTCCTGGCCTGAAAGGTCTGGGGAGCTTCCACTCCCACCCTGTTGGCTCAGGGCCTTCCTCTCCCCGCTGGCTAATCCACCCCAACCACACTGGTCTCCTCCTTGCTGTGTCCAATGTGCCACCAGGTACAGGCCTGCTCGAGTCTTTGTCTGCCCCCCAGAAAGAGGCATAGCTCACTTTGCTTAAATGCCACCTTCTCGGGGAGGCCTTCCCTGAACACCCCATTTAACTAAGACCTCTCGCCACTGCTCCTCCCCACTGAGGTGCCCCTTTCCTATTAACTGTTCAGTTTTCTCCGCAGTATTCATCATGGCGGGGGTAGGGGATGTTTACTAACTGATTTGTCAGTATTTCCCTACTAAGGAAAGCGCCAAGTATCAGAACTGAGTATTTTGGGTCTTACGCTGTCCACTGCTTTGCAGGCCCAGGACCTAAACAGTGTTTGGCCTAGAGAAGGTGTTTAATAAACACCTGTTGGGCAGCCAGGTGAGGATAGAGGTAATGCAGTGTTCTGTGATGTTGGACCCACCTGGGAAGGCCCTGGGCTCACACCCTCAGGACTCCCTGCATAGTCCAGGCACACATGTGCACATGATCCAGGCTGGCTGAAGCTGGGGGTGGACTGCGCTGTGGAGACCCTGTTGGGGGTGAGTGTGTGTGTGTGTATGTGTGTGTGTGTGTGTGTGTGTGTGTGTGTGTGTGTGTGTATGTCTCTCTCCTGTGGAAGAAGTAAATAGATTTTAAAAATAAATGCTTGTTGGGGCCAGAAGGTGGTATGGTGGTTAAGGGTGCTGGACTCCCACATGGCCAACTGCAGTTCAAGTCCTGGACTTGGTGGCTTGGTTTCTCACCTCCTCTCTCTCTCTCTCTCTCTCTCTCTCTCTGTTCCTCTCTGGTCAAATAAGAATAAAATAAATAAAGAGAAAATAATTATTTAATAAATAAATACTTGTTGGATGAATGAATGAATGAATAAGTGAATCCATTCACTCCTGAATCCACAACTCCTGTCCCTCTGCTGACAACCTCCACACCTGTCTCCAACTCCATGTCAGATCCCTAACTGCTTCCTTGAGGCCACCACTTGGGTGTCTCAAAGTCACATCAACTTGTGTGTCCCAAATGAAATGCATCACCTCCTCAAGCTGCTCCCTCTCTGTTTCCCATTTCGGTGACAACTCTCCCAGGACAGAGAGTCCTGTGCCTCAGGTTCCCTTGACCCCCATGTCTTGTGTCTTCTGCCTCCAGTATCTTGGCTTCCACCATATCTAGAGTAACAGAAACAAACACAATTTCCCTGGGGTCATCTGATCCTAAGAAAGGCCAACAGGATCATCTCCCAGTAATAAAAACATAAATCCCTCCCTTCACACAAATACCTACTTGTTGACAGAGCGCTTCTACAGACATTATGTCACCAATTTTCACAACAACCCTGGGCTTAGGCGTCGTTATTCCCAATGAACAGATGAGAAAACAGGTTCAGAGAAATGAAACAATTTGCTCGAGGTCACAGCGTGAGTAAGAAGGAAATATGGGAACTTGAATCCAGAGCCCAAGACTAAATCGTCAGCAACCTGTGTCTCCCGCAGTTTAAAAGACTGGCTCTCAGGTAAGTTGCATAACTTCTCTGGGCCTATGTTTCCTCATCTGTAAAACGGAGATAATAACAGACTATGTCATGGGGTTTTTACAAGGATTCAATGAGTTAATCCATGTGAGGTGTGTAGAATGGTGATTGGCAGGTTGTGACACCAAATAATGTTAGCTCTCATTATTACGATGCTAAGGATTTAGGGGATGTTTAAACTCCTACAATCGGTTAGAAAATTTTGTGGTCTGTGTATTTTTCCTGGGAAGAGAATCCTGAGCTTCTCTCTAGTTTTCAAGAGATCCTGGGACCAGCAGTTAGCGTAAAGGTTATGTCGCTGGACTCCTATGTCGCTGGACTCCCATGTAGTCGACTGCGGTTCGAGTCCCAGACCCGGTGGCTTAAAACATGCTGGGCACATGTGTGTGCATGCCCAAGATCCCAAGAGAATGGAGGAGAAGGGATCGCGGCATGGCCATGCCCCCTGGGGGGTGATTTCTTGCTTTCTGTTTCTGTCTCTGTCTGTCTGTCTGGCAAGTGCACAAGCTCTAAAGGAAAAACCTCTCAGAAAACAAACAAAAAAACCCCTATATTCAGAGCTAAAAAACATGGCCGAGAAGGCTAGCAGGTAGTTAAGGCACTGGACCCCTACATGGCCAACCATGGTTCGAGTCCTGGATCTAGTAGATTGAGAATCACAGTAGGTGCATATGCGTGCATGCCCAAAATCCTGAGAGAATGGAGGAGAAGGGATTGCAGCATGGCCATCCCCCCTGGGGGGTGATTTCTCACTTTCTTGCTTTCTGTCTCTCTGGTAAGTGCATGCACCCTAATAGCAAAACTCTCCTTCTAAAAAAAAAAAAAGAGAGAGAGAAAGAAAGAAAGAAAACCACTGTGTGAACACAAAGCAGTGTGACAAAGTGGTTAAGTTACAGGTTCAAGTCTCAGTGCTGTCATTTATTAGTGGTTAACAATGGCCCCTACACCATGGCACTCTTATGAAGAGCGAGATCACACAAGGATAACACCCAGGTCACCATCTGGCAGAGTAGATACAACACATTTAACTCTGCTCACACCAGATTCTCATTCCTGTCAAAAACAGCCTGTTTGAAATTCTACAACCATCTCGGGCCACACCACCCTTTCCGGATTGCCTCCCTCCAAATTCACAAGGCTGTGCTGCAGATTTGGTAACAGCACCAACAGAAAGCACTCAGAGGTCCCACAGATGATATGGGGCTGAATCCCCCATGGCCAACTGTGTGGTCCAAGTCCCAGATGCAGTGGTTTGAAACATGCTGGGCACATGTGCATAAGTGCCCAAAATCCTGAGGAAAAGAACGGAGGCGAAGGGATTGTGGCATGGCCACCTCATCTGGGGAATGATTTCTCACCTTCCCTCTCTCCCCGTCTCTGGCTCTGGTGAACACATGTGTCTTACAGCAAAAACAAAAAAACACACTCAAGAAGAACCCAGTCGGCATCCCAGAAATAATGGCTTAGACCAGCCACTTAATGTCCCCTACCTACACCCTACACTTCAGTTTCCTGCCCCCCCCCTTTTTTTTTTTGAGAGTTTTTTTGCTATAGGGTGCATGTGCTCACCAGAAAGACAGAGAGACAGAGAGACAGAAAGCGAGAAATCCCCTCCCCCCAGAGGGGAGGGCCATGATGCAGTCCTTTCTCCTCCATTCTCCTCTCTGAATCTTGGGCTTGCACGCACATGCATCCTAAGCCATGGGTCCAGGACTCAAACCACGTTGGACTACATAGCCCGCCCTCTTTAAAATGGCTTAGATGGTCTTCCTAAACACCTTCCAGCCCGGAGCCCACTGACTTAGGAGGCCGGATACATGGCAATGATCTATTT